CTGTCTCCCAAAGACAGGCCTCTCCTGTGGGAGGCAGCCTAGTGCTCAAGAACCTCCCTTCAAGGGTAACAGGAGTGAGACCCTCTCGGAGCTCACCTGACTTGTCTGAGTTGGTGATAGTGCCTTCCTCCTCACTTGGGCCACATGTGCCTGTCCTCTGCTTGCACACAGGCAGAGCCACAGTCTTCATAGTGCAAACACTATGATTCCTCGGGAGACGCTAAAGTGAATGACCCAGGGAGGGGCCTGCTTGCTCCATTCAGTATTGGCACTGTTGTTGCTGTAGGCAAGGCCAGCTGGTATGGTGCCAGGGATTGGCACCAGACCTACTTCACAGACAGGGAAACTAAGGCTGAACAAACAAATCGGAACCAAGATGCCACCCTGATGCTCTTTCTCCAAGTTCACCACCACCCCAGCACAGCATCCTGCCCAGCAGTCCCGGGAGACCATCTCAGCCCAGCTGCACCGACCTTCCCGATACCCTAATGTAGCTGCCCTGCACACCAGCACATTCTGTATTTATGAGATGCCTCTGCTTCTCTGTGGACCAGCCAGGCTCTTCCCCCACCCCATGTGCTTGGGGGAGGGAGGCAGGGCTCTGTAGCCGGTCGGAGGGGGCTGGGCTGGGCTGAGGCTCTAGCCGGGCATCTGCTGAGCCTGTGAAGCAGTGGAGCCGGGCACGCACAGATGCTTCTAGTGACCTTTGTTCCCTGGCTTACACTTTCAGAGAGCCTAGGAGGGGGCTGGGTGGGCAGAAGAGTGACCAGGCACAGGAGAGGAAAGTCGGACTTGCAGGGTGTGGGCGGCGTGCAGGGTGTCCCCGCCTCCGCAACAAAGAGGAGAGTTAAGAAAGATGTCAGAGGCCTGGGCATGGACCAGTGGGACAGTTCTAGTCTAACACACACAGACCCCCCCCTCAGCACCACACACATGCGCACACCGCACACAGCATGAGGGGGTCAGTCTGAGTATAAACAGACAACGGAATATAAAATAAGAACGGAGGAGATGATTCAGGTGCTTAGGTGCTTGCTGCACAACCACAAAGACTGTGTCTGATCTCCCAGCACCCACACTAGGAGGACTGGAGCTCAGACACTGGCCTGTAATCCCAGCCCTGGGCAAAGAGAGACAAACGGATCCCTGGGGGCTCTCTGGCCACCCAGCCTCATCTGTCTAAACCCTAGACCAGGGAGAGGTCTTGTCTCAAAGGAGGTTCCCCTGAGCAGGACCCCGTGGTCATGCCCCACAGGCACACACATAACCTAACGCCCTCACCAACATTATACACGCCTGTAATGAAATATTTACGAATAATATATTACACAAAGGAAGGTAGGAAGCCAAGAGCTAGTGGCACATGTCTGCAACCCCAGCACTTTGGTGGCTAAGGCAGGAGAATCAGCTTGAGTCCAGCCTTGGCTACAGAATAAAATAAAACAAAATAAGAAGAAGGAGACTTGAAAAGGTATGCACAGAGATTGAAATATTCTAGACACCAGTCACTCTGCTCCGAACAGTTGCTGGGAGTAGGCTGATCATTGGTTCTGAGCATCCTGGAAGCCAAAGAGAAAACGGAATGCAATTTCACACATGTCCACAGTGGGCTGGAAAACACACAGCTGTGGAGACTCTGCTATGGCTGCTTTGAGGGCAGGAAAGAGCTCAGGCCCCGACCTCATCTGGAAGGTCCCTCTCCTTGCTCTTTCCACCCCCTCTGCTCCAGCACCCCACACTCAAGGGCAGCAGTCTTCACCAGCTCTGTGGGTGTGTTTCCACATTTCACCACCAGGGGACAGTGCCGCTCTGGTTCTGGTCGGGGACAGCACAAGAGGACCGGGACGCTGGGGGCAGGGAGGGGAAGCTGGGAGTTGCCAGGGCCTCAGTAAAGATGCCAGTACCAGCTGGGGTAGCGGTAAGGGTGGGATGGGGAAGAGCATGTGGGGGTGGGGTGGGATGAGGCTCAGCCTGTCATTCAGAGAGGATTAACTTGAGCTCCCTGCCAGCCTAGGCTAAAATCTGACACCCTCCCCCTCATGCCCTCCCTCTTCCTCCCTTCTCCCACCTCTTTCCCCCCTCCCCCATAGACTTGTAGGTAACTGTACTTGCTGCCAAGCCTGATGACCTGAGTTTGAACCCTGGAACCTACGTGGTGGAAGGAGAATCAATTCCCAAAAACTGTCCTCTGACCTCCACTTGCCAGCTGAGGTACACATGCACACACACACACAAATAATAATAATAATAATAATAATAATAATAATAATACATTTTTAAAAGTGTAATAATTGAGCACACAGAGAGTTAGTGCCTAATAATATGCTAGTAATAGTTGAATTTGATTAACTAAAAAAACTCTCTAATTCAATGAGATCATTTGTTGGAGCTAACTATTAAAAAGCATATAAAAGGAGAAAAAAAGGTGTAATAATAATTTTTGAAAAGTTAGACCTCACCTGATTGAGGCACTCGTGATGAAGGAGGGGTCCTTTGAGAGAGTGGGGGTTTCCAGGATTTGTGCAGCAGCTGTGCACAGTCCTCTGTGTGGGTGTGAGCACACAGTGTGCTTCCGTTGGCCGCAGCCTTCCCTGAACATGGGGCAAGAGGATGGAGCAGTGAAGGATCGAGCTTGCCAGCTTCGGGACAGAAGAAGGAACACCCACTGTCCCACTGTGGAAGCTACAGGACCTGGGTTTGAGGTAGGGACTGGGGAAGTAAAATCAGGATTGGAAAATGTCAACAGAAATGTCCTCTTTAAATGTCACAAGAAATCCCAGCCTAGCAAGTGGTGTGTGTGTGTGTGTCACAGCTGTTCTTCGTGGTCAACTTGACTACATCTGGAATTAACTAAAACCCCAAAATGTCTGACACCAGTGAAGGACGTTTTTGCTTAACTGGATCATTTGAAGTAGGAAGATCCACTTCTAATCCAGATCTTTGGGATAAGAAGACATACCTCTAATCTGGGCCACACCTTCCGCTGGCATCCTATACAAAAGACACGGAAGAAAGAAGCTTGCTCTCTGCCTACTTACACTTACTATGGCTGGCAAGTCCATTCTATCACTGGCATTAGAGCCTACTTCCAGGATTCTGGCGTGTGCTGAAGACCAACTGGGACATCCAGCTACACTGAACAGTACTGAATGCTTAAACCTTCCATTGGTAGACAGCCATTGTTGGAGTGGCTGGACGAGAGAGAGAGAGAGAGAGAGAGAGAGATTTGTTGTACAAGTTCTCTTACCCTAAAGAACCCTGACTAATACAGCGTGCCAGGGGCACAGAGCCCTGCGAGCCCCTCTGCTGCTCCCCTGATGCCCTTCCCTAACACCTGGACCAAAGCAGCCTTTATGTAGCAAGCTCAGAAAAGACTTGGAGCAGAGCCAAGAGTGGGCAGCAAAGGGAGGCACTGCCCACTGTGGTTTCCCATCCATTGATCTGGTAATTACAGCCACAGCCAGCAGAGACCCTGGAAGGAGAGTGGACAGATTCCCCACTGACAGTTTGAGGAGCAGCAAAGCATGACTCCTCCAGGGTGGGGGAGGTGATAACAGCACAGAGGGTGAAAGGAAGGCTGGCTTCCCCACTCCTCCTCCTATTCTTTCTGCTGTGCAGCAGTTTCCTCTGAGGTTAGAACTTTCCCTCTTGGAGGGAAGCTCTTTAAGACACAGGGTGTTTACAGGGAAGTGAAACAGCAGAAGTTCTGAGGGGATGAAACTACATCCTGCAGAGAAGCTCCTTAGGGTCAGGAAGAAAACAACACAAAACAGCTTCAGGAAGTCCCTGAAACTGAGCACATTCATTAGGCCCCTCCCTGGAGGTAAAGAGAATCACTCTCAGACAAGCTGAGCTTCCTGGAAAAGGCAGAGATCAACTGAGGTACCAGGAAAGGTGCCCTCCAACCTGTTCAGCTGCTTGCAGGCTGTTCAGTGTGCTCCAGGTTTCCAGCTTTGTGAGTTGTCACACACACTGGGATGGGCATTGGTGGTGCAGCTGTCTTTGGGTCTTTTCTGTTCCTGTAAGTAACCACTCACCTAAACCCAGGAAAACTACCTCATGGTTCACCAAGTCTAATTTTAATGGTATCTGGACTTTGGTCCCTCATTGATCCCCTATCTGGAGTTGTGGATGTTTGATCACTGTTCCTGAGAACAGCATCAGACAGCCTCCTCTTTCTAGCACTGTTCTCCCTCTCTCACAACTGATCTGTGGGGGCTCCTTCCTTGCCTTCCGGTGCCGTTGAAGTCTAGTCTCTGATCTCTACTCCTGAGCACTGGCTCAGCACAGTAGTGGGAGGAGCTACCCAGGGGAGACCGGTGGGGGTGGGGAGCACAAAGGCACAAGTTACCTGTCTTCCACAGCATTTTCTTTCCCACCTATCCGTTCCCTGGACCTCAATACTGTGCCTTTAGGGAGAAAGGAACCTAAGGCTTGGCGAGAGAGACAGAATGGCTGCCCAAGGCCACCCCATCTCATCAGGGCCATCCTATAATCCAACCCCAGGTGTGAATACCTTCCTGGGGAGGGTGAGGAACTGGAAGGAGGCTAAGAAGGGCAGAGAGGCACAGGTGCATTTCACTATGTGGCCTTGAGCCAAGTCATTTGCCCTCTCTAGGCCAAGATTTCACTGGTTGGGGGTGGGGGGGTCCTCCTGGGGCCTGTGGTCAGTCCTGTCTGCTAGGCAGTGTTCCCTGCCTTCCAGTAGCTTTGGCCCAAACAGCATCAACACTTCAATCGTCTTTCTCTTATAACCCTGGGGAGATTTGAAAAATAATTTCATGCTTTCTGCTTCCTTCCCAAGATTGCCCTGCCAGGTTAACTGTTTTCTTGTCTGTTGCTTCAGCACAGCCTCACATCTGGGATCCTTCAGTTGCCAGCCTCCCTCCTGGCTCTGGCTTGAGCTGACTCATAACAGAGGCCATCAGACTTCAGCGATTGCTCTCCCACGCCCCC